AATAAATGGCTATCATTGAAAAGACAAAAAATAACAAGTGCTGTTGGTGGGAAGGTAAATTAGTGCAGCCGCTATAGAAAACAACATGAGGTTTTCTCAAAAAACTAATACTGGAACTGCCGAGGGATCCAGGAACCCCACAACTGGGCATTCAGGCAACAGGAAACAAGAAATCAAAAGGATACCCGTACTGGCATGTGTATTGTAGCACTAGTCACCACAGCTAATGTATGAAATCAACCTACATGTCCATCAACAAATTAACGGACAAAAATTGTGGTATACATACATTCAGCATATATAGAAATAAAATCTGTTATTTGTGGCCAATAGACATCAACAAACTAAGAATTGATAATCTAAAAATAAACCTGCACGTTTACAGTCAATTGATTTTATACAAGGTTAACAAAAGAACAAAATGGGAAAAGAATAGTCTTTTCAACAAATGGTGCTGGGACAACTGGGTATCCATATGCAAAAAGAAATAAATAAAGTTGGACTCTCACCAACTTTATTTAACTTTATTTATTTTTAAAATAACCATATTTAAAAATTAACTCAAAACAGTTAAGCGTAACTGCTAAAACTACAAAACCCTCAGAAGGAAACATTGGTATAAATCTTTGTCTCTGCATTTGGCAGTGATTTCTTAGCTATGACTCCAAAGGAAAAATGGATTCAATGGATTTCAAAATTGAAAACTTCTGTGCCTGAGAAGACAGTATCAAGAAGGTGAAAAGGCAAGCCACTGAGTAGAAGAAAATACTCAAAAAATCTATATCTGATAAAGGACTTATAGCTGCGATATATAAAGAACTCTTGCAATTCATAAATAACAAGATAACCCAATTTTAAAAATGGGCAAAGATTTTGAATAGATATTTCTGCGAAGAAGATATAAAGATGGATATAAGCACATTAATAGATGCTTAATGTAATTAGTCATTAGAAAAGTTTGAATCCAAACCACCGTGTGGTATCACTTCATACCACAGAATGAAATATTTCTTCAACAATAAAGAGAAAATAAGTGTTAGCAAAAATGTAAAGAAATTAAAATCCTTATACGATGCTGGTGGCAATGTAAAGTGGTGCAGCCTCTTTGGAAAACAAACTGGCAGCTCCTCAAAAGGTTAAGCATGAAGTTACCATGTGACCCAGAAATTCCAGTCCTAAGTATATACTCAAGAAAAATATTAAGTATATACACAAGCACAAAAACTCGTACATAAACGTTTATAGCAGCATCATTAATAAGAGTCAAAAAGTGGAAAGAACCCAAAGGTCCATCGCCTGATGAATGGATAAATAAAATGTCTGATGTATACATACAATGGACTATTACTCAGCAATAAGAAGAGATTAAGTACTGATACTGATAGAGGCAGGAGACAGCAAAATGCCTAGGCAGATATGGAAGGGTCCCCAGAGACTCTCCAACCAACCCTGCAAGTGTTTACACCAGATGTTTTGTGCAGATAAGGGAACCTGCACAGGGTCTTGTCTGGACATGCCCGCAGTGGACTGGAAGCCTACATGCACTGGGGGAATGGGGTGGAGCCACCAGGAATTAACACTTTATGCAGGGGAGGAGCCTGGCCTCTTCAGCTCACGTGTGGGGGACCTGGTATTCAATTGTGACATGAAAACCTGTTTGCAGGACCCCTCTCTTTGCTGCGAGCTTTCCTTTTACTTAATAAATTCTGTCAATGTGTCTGTGTGCCCAATTTTTTTCTGATCATGAGAGAAGAACCCAGATTTAGCCGAACTAAGGAGGAAAAGCCCTGCATCAATACTTGCTACAACACAGATGCAGCATGAAAAATTATGCTAAGTGAAATATGCTAGTCACAGTAGACCACTTGCTTTTTATTTCAGAGGCTTATAGGCAAATCTATACAAAGAAGGCAGGTGGTTCCCTAGGGCTGGGGGAGGAAGGGGGAACTAGTGACGATGGCTAAATGATGTGGGGTTTCTTTTTAGGGTGACAAAAATGTTCTAAAATTGACTGTGATGATGATTGCATAACTCTCTGAAAATGCTAAAAGCCAATGAATTGTATATGTTAAATGAGTGAATTGCCTGGTGTGTTTATTATTTCTCAATAAACCTGTTAGCTCCCCAAATTTATTTGGTACTAGTGATCTGGAGACATGTACTGCTTGGTTTCAGATCACTGGCCAGGGTTCAAGATGTATGAGAATCAACAGCATGTCCTTTTTATAGAAAAAATATGATATACATTTTAAAAACTATCCTTTTCATTAGTATCAAGTTGGGAAAATTAAGGGAAAAAAAAATCTTTCTTTTACTGCTTAAAGCACTGAGAGATTTATGTTGAGGAATAAGGCCTTGTTTTCTTTTGCCCCAATTTCTCTCTAAAGGGTCTGGAGAATCACACCCTTCAAACTATAAAATCTTATCAGATGGGTATTATTAACTCTTATAATGTGACTTACTTTCTAACCTGATTCTGGTACAGCATCACGGATAGCAGAAGCTGAAGGAAATCAAAATATTTTACCCCCAAACGGCTGCCACAGGGCCAAGAGAAAAAAATGACCCTATGAAGCTGTCTTCTGTGGGGGAAACTGCATCTGTAAGAAGTCTTCATTAATGTAGCTAGATCTCTCCCCTTCTAGATCATTCCAGATCTAGGGAAGATTAACTAAGATTCTGATGTATTTAACATCTGAAAAGATATTTTTACCCTCTATTTTCTCTGAGGGCTTCCAGCTATGAGGCTCCATCTACATAATAAGAACCTTGGCCTCCATAACCACCTTATCTTAGGCATTCCTTTCTACTAGTTTCAAGTTTTAGAGGACAGCTTAACTTTCTTTACCAATTGTCACCTAAAGAATCCCTAAAACCCACCTATGATTTTTTAACCTCTCCTTTTTGATGGTCCACTTTCAGGCTAAACCAATGTATCCCTTTCGTCATACTGATTTATGATTTTCCCTACAGTTTCTGTCCACTGGAAATGCATAACACCAAACTGTAAGGTGACAGTCTCACAAAACATTCTCAGGATCTCCTGAGATTGTGTAGCCCAGGGCCACAGTCACCACATTGGCTCAGAATAAACCTTAAACATATTTTGGCAGAATCTGGGTTTTTCCATCATTAATATTTCCCCAAATTATGTGATTTTTAAGCTAAAACTGATTTAAAATGATGTGGTGTTGGAATATACATCATTCTATATAAAGATACATGCATTTGTATGTTCATTGCAGCACTATTCAGAATAGTAAAGATATGGAATCAATCCAGATGTCCATCAGTGATAAGATGGGATAAAGAAAATGTGATATATATACATCATAGATTACTATGGAGCCATAAAAATGAATGAGATCATGCTCTTTGCAGAGACATGGATGCACTTGAAGCTGTTATCCTCAGCAAACTAACCCAAAAACAAAAACTAAATACTGAATATTCTCACTTACAAGAGGGGGAGCAGAATGATGAGAGCACATGGACTCGGGGAAGGGAACAACAAACACTTGGGCCTGTTGGGGTCAGGAGGGAGAGCATCAAGATCAATAGCTAATGCATGTGAGGCTTAATATCTAGGTGATGGATTGATAGGTGCAGCAAACCATCATGGTAGACATTTACCTGTGTAACAAACCTGCATGTCTCGCATATGTAATCCAGACCTTAAGATAAAATAAAATTTGTTTAAACATTACCTTCTGTTTTATCTTCTTAATCAGAATATCCATTTTCAGTTGATTTGTTTCTAAGTCTCCATGGAAACTGAAGTCTTCATTTCCAAATACATTTAACATACTTATTGTCATTTCTAGGAGTTTCTTATATCTGCAGAAATGCACAGAATTAGGAAGTCAAGTATTTTTAAGAGTAAATATTTAATAATTGTTTAAACAGATATGTTACAGTGTATCAAAGAAGCAAATCTATCAACTACGATCCTCTCAGTTTCAAATGAACATAGTTTGAAAGCATTCTATGTGAAACTATAATCTCAGATAAATAATATGAAGAACAATTTCTTTTTTGAGATGGAATTTTGCTCTTGTTGCCCAGGCTGAAGTGCAATGGCATGATCCTGGCTCACTGCAAACTCTACCTCCCAGGTTCAAGTGATTCTCCTGCCTCAGTCTTCCCAATCACTGGGATTACAGGCATGCCCCACCATACCAGGCTAATTTTGTATTTTTAGTAGAGACGGGGTTTCACCATTTTGGTCAGGCTGATTTCAAACTCCTGACCTCAAATGATCCATCCACCTGGGCCTCCCAAAGTACTGGGATTACAGGTGTGAGTCACCACACCTGGCCTAACCATACAGTTTTTATAAATGAACTATTCAGATCCATGTTGGTATGCTAACATAAAATAACCTACTACCAAATACAGGCCATAACCCAGAGATGAGTAACCAAGATAAAAAAATAAAACATATACATGTTTGAAAAAGACACAAAAAATACATTTTGATACCTGTTGGCCACAGTCTATAAGAAAAGTACACACAAAAAGCCTCAATGGGATCATTCAATGTAGAAAAAGAGAAGTAAGCAAATATCTTTAATATCTGAGTTGAGGAGAAAAAGGAAACAGGCAGTTTTAGAAAAAAGGAAAGGTGCAGAGAGATGTGTGATGATTTAAAGACTTTGAAGAGATCTAGAGATCTTTGCTGACACAATGTCAGCAAAATGAAAGAGATACAAAACCATGTAGAGAAAGGCAATGACAGAAAAATGTTGATTAGAATCAGAAAACCAACTCAAGTGCTCAGTGAATAAATGGAAAAGTCTTCAGGGCTTCAAAGGCACATTCCATTTTTTTAAAAAAAATCTGTGATCAAAACACGAATGCTCATTTTACTCTTTTTCTTTGTTATATGTATAAACATACAATTTATTTCTGTAAAACAGAAGTTTAATAACACGTGTACTTCATGTATACAAAGGAGGTACCCATGTAAAATAGGTAAACTTCCATGATATGTTTTATATCTAAAAGGAAGAGAAGCTGAAACAAAATATAAGCTACATATCAAGATAAATTGTGATGTTAAAGAATGACACAAATAGGTCTTCTTTAAAGAATTTAAATGCAGCAGAGAAGGATTCTACAAAAGGAAGAAACAATGAACAGACATCAAAAATATCTTCAGAAATAAAAATTCAAACTAGATAAGAGCATACTTGACATTATAGGTCCAAGGCTTTGTCCATACTGTTTTCAAACTCAGCAAAGAATAAGTGTAATATTGTGGCATTCAAAAAAATTTAAGATTGTGTTGTTTCTTTTTTTCACATATTTTTAATATAAATTTTTTCATCCCAACCTTGCCCTAACAGCTCAGCCAACTCCCGCCCCCCGGCCCATATGCCTATAATGTTATGCTGTGAGTTTCTGAAATACATTTTAAAATATATTTTATTTAATTATGAAGATGCAGACATAAAATGAATTTGTATGTAGGTTTAGTCAAGTAAAATCAGAGATAAATCAATTGATAAATGATTAAAATGTTCTACAGTAGGGAAACCTTACCCAGTTGTCTCTTCTTCTAATTCATTATTTTTCTTTCTTATTTGATCCACATTATGCTCCAGTGATGACATTAACTCAAAAAGTTTTCTTAATTCTTCCTTTTCTTCAGACTTGAAAAAAAGGGTTTAAAATTATTTTTGTAAAATCTAGAGACATTAGAGATAAAAAATATTATTTCTTGTAAGATGATGAGTAATGTGCATTTAGGCACATGTATAAAGGGCATTTTTTAAACCTGATGCCAATAAGGACAGATTTCAAAAATAGTCAGTTTTCTTAGATAAAAATGATTCATACTTTTATCATTTTCTTTTCTGAAACTTAAACTGCCAAAAATGTTTGTTAGAAATGAGGGGTTTTACACATATAATACTACGTGTTAGTAAGAATAAATAAGAGTAGTCATATTTACCTTTTAGTTTTTAAAGATGCTCTAGAAACATTGTCATTAATGGTTTGAGATACTTCAAGTTTTGTTAATTACATCTTACTCAGGTGATTTACTTACTTAGAAAACTCTTATCTAGTTCCCACGGTATTTTTGATTCTCATCTGTCCTCAGGCTGAGCTAAATACTCTCATTCTAAGTATTCACCCATGGGTTTCAGTTTTTTCCTTTCTCTTAACCATTCCTCTTTAAATAACATTTATTTTTTCTCTATAATAAACAAAAACATAACTTTTGTCTACTTTTTGTGGCTTTAATATTACCGTATTTCTCCCCTTCCGTTGGACTCTATGACACATGGTCTCATCCAGAGATCTTTTTCCATCACTTATTTGTTTTTTTTTATACTGAAATTTGATTTTTAATAATTCCAATAAAAAATGTCCAAGGGTCATGAAGTACTTTATCCTGCTTTACTCAGCGCAACTGTGAGCAGTGACCAAATGCTCTGTCTGCTCCTCTGACTCCACTTCATTTCCAAATGCAGCAACCTCTGAAGTTCAGTCCTATCCCTTTCTATTCTTCTTTTTAAACTCTCTCAGGGCTCCTAAAATCTCAAAACTTTGACCCAGATTCCCTAAACTACATTTCCAGCTCTGACCTTTTTCTTGAGTCCTCTTCCTTCTGGTACACATATTATAGACAATATTCTCAACCACATGCTCATACATTGCTACTTGGTGCAGATTACTTTCATAGATAATGAATCTTGTCTATTTTATGTTAATTCTTATTGATGTCCCTTTGAGTACAGTGCTATTTTCTAATCTTGAAGGGGGACAGTCTCACCTTTAGGATATTGACCAGTATACCGTGTCCTTTTTCGCTTGCTTTCCTCCTTTTTGACCACTATACTTTGTCCTTTTTTTCTTTTTCTTTTTTTTTTTTGAAAAGGATTTGCACTCTGCCATCTAGGCTAAAGTATAGTGGTGCCATCTTGTCTCACTGCAACTTGCACCTATTGGGTTCAAGTGATTCTTCTGCCTCAGCCTCCCAAATAGCCAAGACTGCAGGTGCACCCTACCATGCTCAGCTTATTTTTATTAGAGACAGGGTTTCACCATGTTTGCTAGCCTGTTCTTGAACTCCTGACCTCAGGGAATCCACCCACCTCATCCCCTCAAAGTGCTGGGATTACAGACATGAGCCACTGCACCTAGCTCTTGTTTTCTTTTGTAATGGAAACTTTCCCAAGAGAATCAGATTATCAATTGTTTGCCTTCATTTTCTTTTGAAGAATTTCCTTTTCCATAGAGATATGGCATGATCAAAGTCTTGTTCTAAAGTTTCTTTCAGAGGGACACTTGACTATATCATTGGGAAGCTCCAGTCAGCAGAGGTCTCCCTTCTTCCCAGTCAAGATCCTTCATCTCAAAATGGTGGCCAACAAATGTCTTAATCCAGGTAGTCTCTTGCTTAGGAATTCATGAAATTAAGAACCTTCTGGAATAGTTAGGGGCTATTGATTGAGACGGTTTAAAGCTGTCCTTATTGAATGTTTTACTCCCAAGCAGACATCAAAGTGGTTAACAAGTCCATGCCTGATGTCTAACTCACTTATATGGGAATCTATACAAAACATTTTATTTATGAGATAAAGTCTTGCTGTGTTTACCCAGGCTTGTCTTGATATATATACAGACACCGAGTTGTACATTTTAAATGGGTGAACTGTCTGACGTGTGAACTATCTCTCAGTGAAACTGTTTTTAAAATCCAATGGCAGGATCAAGATAATTTTCTCAAGTCTATTTTGGGTGTACATACTCTATAGGATCTGAGTATTTCTACACCTTTACAGCATATTTTAAATGAAAGAAAAATGAAGGCAATGCCCAGCTTTTCAAGTAGTTTGTAAATTAA